TCCTCCTGCCGCCGCGGGGCAGGGCCCTCCCTGGGCCGCCCCGATAAGCGGGGGGTGGGCTCCCTGCCGCGCCCAGGCACGTTCGGCGCCTCCGGGGGAGGTGACACACGGAGGGTTTGTCCCCGTTTGCGGGACAGAAGAGATTCAGTAGCAGCGACTTCGGCATTTTCAATAGATGCCTATTTGTATATCTATACATGTTAATTTGATGCGTATTTATGTGTGTGTTACTGGTGGAAGACTCCCTGCTTCGGGTTAAAAATGAGTTGTAGCTGTGGGTTGATGGACAGGTGTAGTTTACCCGTCTCTAGTTATTAATGTATCCTCCTTTCCAGACTGCTTCCATTGCCTGGGTGTTACTCCTGAGTGCTACTCTCTTATGCAAGTGTGGTAGTAGGAAAGGTGAGTATTGTTTAAGCCAAAGCCACATCTTACTTGTCCAGAACTATTTTGCTTCTATGTTTATTTTTGTCTTTGCCCTTCTAAAAAGAGGCTTCCAGCTTTTTAATGAACCAAGTAATGATGGCTAGCAGACACTGTAGTTATCTTACATCTCCTTGTTAGGGGAAAAATCTGAGTGGAAAGTATTAATTAGTGTGTTTTCTTCCAATGTTTCTAATTCTGGCATGTTTCCATTCTTCCAGAGGCTGTAGTTCTGCACCCTCTGCGATGTTAATATACAACAGTGTTGCATGAAGCAAGAGAATTCTTAGAAAATGTGCTGATGTTAGTTATTGATTGAATGTGCACCTTGTCTTCTGGTCTGAAGTGTTCCATTTAAGGTGATTGTGTAACATGCTTGTGTAAAGCATATGTTTGTGTCATGTTTGTGTTATAGGCCAATGTGAATCAAAAAACCTTAAGTCTTATAGTTGTATTGCGTGGTGTAAGAAGATGCCATTATTTATGCAAGTAAACTCAGGTAAAAAACACTTACTTACATGTAGCTGACGACAAAGTTGCTACACAAATTCAGAAGAGAATACTGTTGCTATTGTCAATCTTCCTTCTCTGACTCCCTACCCCAAAAAATAGATGCACACCCACAGTTTGTTTCACTCATGATTGCCTTCAGCACTAGCATCTGGACGTAATAGATTTCCGTGCAAATTCAGAGCCATTAGTTTGTGTTTAACTGCTGTTTTGCACCAGTAGGTGCTGGTCTGTTACAGTCCCAATAAGAAAGTCACTCAGGCTCTGTAAAGTATCATCTCAAATGCTGTTTGTTAGAGCTAACCCTATAAAGAAAGAGGATAGCGTTGATAATCTTACATTGCTTCAGGTGCTGGGAACCCCAAGTTGTATGGCGTTGAACAGATTCATGCGCTGCATGTTGTGCTGACCCTGTCCGTAGAAAGGGTTACCCCATTTCAGTCACTTGAGCTGTTAGGGATTCTCTTACAAGAAAACAACTCTATTCATTGTTTCTTCTACTGTCAAACAGAAAGGATGTTCACATGAGAACTTCTTGCCCTGTTAGATAAGGGCAAGGACATGTAGGTGGTGTAATCACAGGTACCAAGTGGGAGCTGCCTGCAGACTGCCCTGTTACAACTAGCTGCTGAGCTTATCCTGCAGCCATGGGTTGTGCATCCCACAGCACGGGCCTGAAGGCCGTGCTGTACGTGAAGTCCAGCACGAGACAAGCTTGGACCTACTCAGGTTAACTGTTAGGTGAATCACCAGCTCCTTGGTGTACAATGGCCTTCAGGTTAGGATCACTCCAACTACTTTGTTAACATCTGTCTGTAAAACAAGTGTGCTGTTTGGTGTCTGCTGTAAATTTACAAAAATGTGGCTTGAGAAGCTAAGCAAGAAATTGAAAATATAAACTTTCTGTGTGAACACAGCTATCAACTGGGACTTAATTATCTGAGAAGAATGATAACGACATGGAGAAGGCAGAGCTATTTTGGGGTAGTATGCTGTGTGAATGCTCTGCTTTGAAAACATCCATTCCTCCTACATAGTCAGCTGTTCAACCAACATTGCATGCTTCCACTCTTTTTTTTTTTTTTTTTTTTTAATGAATAGCATTAATGAGTTTGGATACAGCTGAACTTGGGAAGTAACTTCCTCAGCTTCTGCTGAAATCAACTAGCCAGCTTTGGAGCTCACCTTGAATGCATTTTCTTTTTAACAGTTTAACCAGAAACATAGATTGTGAGGATGTTGGGACATACTGTAAAAGCTTCCTTTTTGATAAAAATCTTTGCCACTGTAAGCAGACTGCTGTTTGCAGCAGCTATAAAGCCAGCAACAGGTAATGGAAGATCCCGCTGGACCTTTGTCCTGTTGAATTTCACAGGGAAGATGCTCAGATATCAAGTGCTAAGCATGAGAGAGAAGCCCAGGCTCAGAGACAAATGACTTTGCGTAATCTTTTTTCATTCTCCCTTTAGTAACAGAAGAATGTTGCTACTCTGAATTTGTGCTAAATCAGATGTGTAAGACTTTCTATAATAGCAATGGCTAGCTATTCTGTTTGTACTTGAAATGCATCTTATGCAAGAGTTGAGCTCTTAGTCTTGAATTTCCGTCAGAGTCCACGTGCAGATTTTGGCTGTATGGGAACAAGGAATCTTTCATCTTTTTAAAAGACAGTGTCCCTTTCTGAATGAGCAGGGAGACAGAAAAGAGCAGGAGGACAAAGATGTTTTGGGATTCAAAATACATAATTATGTATGGACCTACTAGCATTTTAGCACACTTTGCACACAGCTATTTCTAGTTCTATGCCAGAATGATTAAAAAAAAAATTATATATGCCCTAGTTTTATGTGATCTGTGTAATGAGGTGTTATTTCCTAGTATCCACCTTTGAAAGTGCCTCCATTTTGCCCTCTATGCTAGCCTTGACTTCACATCAGAGAGGAGTTTTTTTTAGTGTCTTAAAAAAAGTAGTAGTCTTATTTGGTAGCACTTGCCTGTTGCAGGTATATAACAATTCATAAACAATTATGCTTCTTGCAAACGAAGCTTAAATGTTTCTGGTTTTCTTCACAATGCCAGCCAGCCTTGATAATGAGAGGTAGTTCAGCTCTGAGTTGGTGAAAGTTTGGATTCAAGGATGACAAAGCACATGTCAGGCCTAAAAAGATGGGACTGTCCTCCAGCAGTGATGTTCTTTAGAGCATCATTTTCTTATTTTTTGTTTTTCTGGGCTATGCCTTCATAAATGCCCTTACCATTCATTCCTAATCAAATGCCTGCCTGTATCAGGTCTTCAAAACTTAACCTGTACCAGCTGTTTCTGACAGAATGTGTTTATCCCCAACTGCAGTGGTAATTAGAGCTTCATTCCTGAGCCAGCTGGTAGTGACTTGGTAAAAGAGAAAGACTTCATGCAGCAATCCCATGGAATTACTGTATACTAAGGGCAGACAAACATCCCTTGGTCCCTTCTGCCTCATGAATGCTTACTGCTGACTTAAAAAAAAAAAACCAAAACAAAACCAAAAAAAGCATGCTTTCAGCTGAGCTTCTCTATTAATTGTATGTTATTGCAGGATGCTTCCTTTTGTACTTTTCAACTCAGAAATCTTAAACCTGTGCATTTTAAAGGAGAGAAGAGAAGAAGGAAGAGGAGAAAAAGGGCTCTTTTTCTAGTCTGTCCAGGGTAGCTGTTCATCTCATTGATACCAGTAAAAACTGTGAAGACTCTGTTTCATCTTTATTCTAGCATCATGAGGACCTCTATGTTTGTTTATTTTTGCATAGAAAAGGTAAATTGTTGCAGCTTACTGAATTGCTGCAAAACTCAGTTTGTTCTTGTTCTTCTTTAGGCAAAAATGTCTGCAGCATGCGACTTCGTTGCACTCCACACTGGGCAAAAGATGCCTCTCGTAGGACTGGGAACTTGGAAAAGTGAACGTGGCCAAGTAAGCAGAGAACAACACAATATTGTGCTCTCAACTAGTATTTGTGGTTTGTGTACCTCTTTTGAAGATCCTTGATCTGAGGCCTGGATCCGTCGCTTGAATGGTTTTAGTCTTAAATCCACTGAAGCCAGTGGAATGTGTGTATGTATTTGCATGACTAAGGCCTTAAGGCACAAAAGCAACAGCAGCAGAAGATCCCTTAAGACTTGTTAACCCAAGCCTCAGGCAGCGGTGCTCTGGGAGGTGAATCCAGAAAGAGACCAATGAGTGGGGCGAGACAGGGAAAATGCTGTAGCTATAATATGGTGCCTGACTCTTCCACTGGTAAATCCGCAGGCTGCCAGTTTGTCCAGACATCCCTCTGGCTTGGGCTGATGACTAAGTTGAAAGCATTATTTTGGGAGGCAAGAACTCAAGTTGTAATAAGTCCTGTTCCAGTGGTCAGCCTATGTTTAGCAGAAGAACAAAGAACTTGCTTGGGTCATCCTGCTTTTAGACTAAGACAACTAATGTGTCGTTACACATTCACTCTGCTTCTAAATGCAATGAATTGGCAAACACCACATTTGGAAACAATTCTGTGTGTTAATACAAGCTGTCTGTGGGCATGTTTAGGACTGTGCCTCCTATTGTAATACTTCTCCCTCTTGTCTGTCTTTTCCTTTCTGTTTCATTTAATTAAAAGATAAATTCTTGGGGAAAGAGATTGCATGTACTTGCTGTGAAAGGCAAGGTCCATTGCTTGGTGGAATTCTTAGCTGGCATTGTTGTTTAGAATGCCTTTTGGATTATGTGTACCCTTGCATGTCTGTGCAGTAAATCTTGCATATCTTGCTGCTACTCTTGTTTTAGCTTCATGGTGGTTTTTGGAGTGCGATGGATGACATTGTGCTCGTGACTGAGAGGGAAAGTTCAAACCCTTATCCATATGTTGTGCTGTTCTCTCGTGCCAGCTAGAGAAAAAGGTGGGAAACAAGCCAAAAAAATTAAATCTGTTCAGAGCTGTTTTACTGTTGGTCTTCCTGTCCAGATAGCTGTCAGGACAGTGTTGGGAATAGAAGCTGTGCTAATGTGGAAGCTGAATTGGTGTGAGAGCTCAGTCAACCTTTTAAATGAGGACAAGGGTGAATGTCAGCTCTGTCACTTAAAAACATCAACTGACAACTAAATTAAGTTTATTAACATGCAGAAACTTAATGGATGAGTTTCTGTGCACCCAAAGCAGTTAAATGTGCATTGTCTAAAACAAATCCCTGAAACGAAACAAGCAAAATATGGATGCATTATTGATTTTGTGCACTAACTGTTCTGAGGAAAGTATGGTCTTGTGAAAGATCAGGGAAGGATCCTGCTTGTGCATAACTTAAACCTAATTCAGATGGATTTTGCCATAGTAAGCAGCACTTTTAGCAGCTGAACCCCACATGGGATCCAGCCATCTTCTCTGGGGTCCCATGGAAGTAATTGGGAATCACTTCTTTGGCATATCTATCTTCAAAGACTTATTCCTAGAATGTAGTGAAGGCAAAATCTAGAAAGTGCGGTGAAATTGGGCAGAGTTACAGAAGTTGCTGCTATTGCTATGGAATAAGTAAATTCCTATTTATCACTCTTGAAAGTTCAGAAGCATAGCAGCAATTTGGCAGACCGTCTAAATGATTTGCCCGGAAAAGGACATACTGTAGTTCAGGTAGAATAATTGTAATTTTAAATGAAAGACTAAGGGCCAAAAACCTAGAGAAGCAGAAGAATTATTGTCGATTATATTTAATCTAGCTGTTTCCCAAGGAGAGGCTATTTATCAAAAGTTCTTTTGTGCCAGGGCTGCATTAGAAGCAAGAGTAGAAGTGGATAGCTTTTAAATTATTTCAGGTAAATATTTTGCAGATTGCAATTATTTTCCTTGCCGAGCTGCTTTTCAGTCTTGACCTTAGTCTCTTGAGTAATTTCTTTATTGTTGCTGTTACTATTCCTGATTCTAAACAAGCCTTGACCTTGTAGCCAGATCTTAGCAATCCGGTACAAAGGTGTCATTGCAGCCCTACTTTTCTAGATGGTAAGAATATGGGGGGAAATGATTTCATCTAAATCCATGTTGGGAGATGATAGGATTTAGATCCGATAAAACAATAAGATGTTTTCTGTCTTACATGATCAAACACTAGAAGAGAAATTTGTTTTACATGTTACCATAGGAACAAGATGGAGGGCTATTGAATGAAAGGGAACACAGTGTGGAAGCTTATGAACTGGCAGCATGAATGAGTTCAAAGAGAAGTCCATTCAGACAGGAGCATCAAGAATATCACTAGAATGTGTTTTGTTTTGTGGTTTTTTTTTTAGTATTGGAGCCTGCTTATCTGTAATCCTTTAATGCTTTGTTTTCTAAAGTGAGCCATGCTTTCAACCTGGAGGATTGATCCCCACCTGATGAACAGTCTAACTTGCTGTGACAGAGGCTGGTTCTGTGGGGAAGAGAGACACGGGGCTTCGGGAAGTTGTATTTCTGTGTGAAACTTCAGGAAAGCTGAAGAGGAAATGCGTACCTCAGAAAACTGGTCGGACTGGGTGACCTGTGACAGGATTGCAGCTACAGAGGAGACTGTTTAGTTCTTGGAAAAGTTTGTTAGACAATATAGAGAATCCTGGTTACATGCACAAATTCACTACTGCTGCTATATATTAAGGGAAGGACTTGAATTCAATGTCTGAAGGATAGGAGGCAAAACTCTTTATTTTAGGCAACATTAACTCAAAGTAATGAAGAACAAAGTTGGCGTTACGTGGTGGTCTGAGTTCCTTTTCAGCATATTTTAGTACAGTATGTACAGACTGTGATATAGCAACACTTACATTCTGGTTATTGCATCTGAGTATCATGTGGACTGATGATCTGGTCTCTTTCTATTTCCTGTTGGCAAATATACTGGGACTGCTAAAATGCGGCAACTCTGCAGGAGGCAGGGGAGGCTGTCAGAGCCTTTTCTTTCCAAGTGTTGCTGGCTGGAACTATTAGAGTGAAAGCCTCTTCATAATGGCTTGGGGCTGTGCAGAAGAGGCACCCTTGTTACTTGAACTCTGTGTTGGAAATAAAAAGTTAGTTTTTCACCTTGTGATGGGCAAACTGAAAAACTGGAAATCTAGTAATGGATATTATAAGGAATTGGGACTTAGAGATTCAATTTCTGAATCTGCCACTGTTTGTTAGCAATATCATGTTCCTCCATCTTCAAAAACAAAAGAGGGTGGGTGGGAAGGCCAATTCCCTCGCTAGGATCTATAAATTGGAGTGTAGTTCCTAGGACTTTACTATATAATGAAGGAGAGTAAGGCTTCAGCTGCAATTCTGTGTCTGTTTTGGGGCAATCCACTTCAAGAGAAGCGTGAACCAGCTGATGAGGCAGCAGCAACAGCGATGCAAGGTTTGGGAAAAGTGAGCTGTGATGAAAGATGGAAGCACCTACAGTTATGTGGTCAAGAAAGGTTTGAGAGGAGGTGTGCTGGTGCTTTCCAAGTGTGCAAAAAGCCCTTACAGAGGGAAAGCTATGGATTTCATGTCTGTGAGGAACAGGATGTGGCATCAGGGACATCTTGGTTAGACATCTAAAAGACTTTGAATGCAAAGATAACTAAGCATTGGAATAGACTGCATCTCACCTGCAAGAAGCGTTTTGACAAATGTCTTTAGGAGTGGTTTAGACTTAGTTGGCCCTGCTGTGGGGTGTGAGGATAGACTAAATGATGTCTCAAGATCCTCTCAGACCTGCTTTCTGTAGGTATATGATGATGCTGGGTTGGTGAGTCACCCTTAAGCTGTGTGACTCCACTTGCCTAATGTAAAACTCAGTAATTGCTCTTTCCATAGCAGTATTGACAGGCTAAACTAAAGAATTTATGGGAAGTTTGAAGGATCCTTTGTCTATTGCTACTTCACAACACCAAATATCCAGAGGTATATGAATCTCCAACTGCTTCTGTTGTCTTTTTTTTTTCTCTGCCCCCTCGAATGTACCTGTCTGAACATAATCTCAAAAATACAAAACTTTCTGTTACAACAAAGTACTCTTCTTAAGTTTACATCTATTATTACATCTGTTATTACATTATATATCTGTTATGAGTTCCCCCCTCCCTGCTCCGGAAATGCTTTTTTTTCCCCACTTTTTCTTTTGATTGTTTGCCTTTTGCATGGAACAGGAACTTTCAGTTCACATTGGAATGTCTTAGCCGGCTAAGAGTAGTTTACACATATACAGATTTTGCCCAAATCCAAACCTTATTTAAATGACCAGTCCCAGTTTCATTTTATGGCAAATTTTATGCATGTGGCTTAAAAAAGGGAAATTAGTACAGACAACACTGCTGTTTTTCCTTTCCTTTCTGCTTCAGCTCCACAACTCTCTCCTTTTTGGAGGGTGGATATTGAGTCAAAAGCCTTTAATATGTCTCAAGTGATTTCAGAATTACCACGACCTTGACTTTTTAGTGACCTTCTGAGGAATGTCTTTGTCAAAGTGAAACAAAGACTGTAAATACCATCCTGCTAGAGAAAGGAAGAGCTTATTTCATTGGTGTAATAATAGAAGTGCTTTGTCATTCTGGCTAAGGGAATCTGGTCTACATTCCAGTTTTCCTCTCAACATGCTAAAGAATGCAGTCAATATCCTGTCTGCCTTTATTGCAGTTCTTGACAAGAAAAACACATGAAATCCACCAGTAGAAGTGATCTCTGTGGCATCTGAAAGCGGGACTGTACACATCTTTAATTGGTGTTAACAATTTTGTCAGCTTTAAAATGGAAAATGCTGGTACTTTGATTAAATTGAAGGACATCAATCTCCCTCTAGCCGTTGTGGACACATTTTTTAATCTCTTGTCAAGAGAGACAGAATGTCTATAAACACATTAAGGTTCTAGTGCATCAAGTCTTATACACAGAATAATTTATGATCTCCCACAGTCTCGAGAGACAAGTCAGTGAAGAGCAATGTATAGAAATCCCTGTATAGATAACATGTACTCTTACTGTAGCACTTCAGATTGCTAGATGTAAAAGAGAGCATGTGCTTACTGTCCACTGGAAGTTAAATGAAATAGATTTTATTTAATGCTTATCAACCTAATGGGAGATGATGATGACACTGAAATTTGCAGTAATTCTTTGTTCTTGTAAGGGACGTGTTGCTTTTGGCAACACCTTCATTGTCAGCAATGTAGAAAGCAAAATGCAAAGTTGTGAGCATCATCAGGAGATCCCCTGCAGGCCATGGGTTAATATTCAGCAGTATAGTGGCTTTCATTGTTGTGCAATCAGTGGGAATGAGACATGAAAGAAAAACGTGCCATAAAATAGCATTATCTTAGAAATGAAGCATTAGCAGTTGGACCAAATCCAAACTCTAGCAATTCTAGAATTAGAAACCAGGCTCTTCCTTTACTGGAAAAGAGGAGGTGTCTTCCAGGCTTGACTGACATTGATCGATTGGTCTGTTAGTTCCAGAAAGTTTGCCTTCCTAAGCCATGATTTATTTGAAAACTGCTTCTGAAAGCTCATTTTATATTTAAGAAAAGTGTGACAACTGTAGTTAAGAATGAGTCTCTATCTGTCTGGTGAGTTCTTGCCTGCTTGGCCTGTGTGCATGGTCTGTTTTCTTGTTACTCTTGGAGTGTCTGCTAGCAATTAACTCTTAATGCCTAAAGGCTGTGCCACAGGATACGGTTGAGTCTCGTGACCTTATGTAGGTCTGTGCTTTGGGGGTGCTCCTCACTAAGGCTCTAGGGTTTTTTCTTCCAGTCATGTGTCCCTTTTCACTGATTGCATTGGATAATCTGTTTCTGATTACAGGTGAAAGAAGCAGTGAAATATGCCCTAAATGTGAGTTATCGCCACATAGATTGCGCAGCAGCTTACAGCAATGAAGCAGAGATTGGTGAGGCTTTTCAGGAATGCCTTGGGCCCAGCAAGGTAAAAACACAAGAACTGCCATGCTGACTCTACGTTGTATCAAAATTTACAACCGTGACCTGAAAGTAGACTGTAAAGTTAACATTTGTGGCTCTTCCTGGTGTATCCCAGCTATTTGTTATTAATCAGGAGCAGGCATGAAAGAGGGCTTTCTCTCCTCTATAACCATCCTGGCTGTCAGGAGGAGAAAAGATTGTCAGGAATATTTGCATGAAAAATACAGAAAATGCCTATTTTAATTTCCCTGCTCCCTTCATCCCCCTGCAAAGTATCCCAGTTTGGGTGTTCAAAAAATTGGAGGTTCCCAGAATCAACAGTTAAAATTGAGAATATTTGCCATGATTTATATGAAAAATTACTCTAGTTTGTCAATCTAGAATAGCATGCAATGGTGAGTAGCCACAGCAAATTCAGTGACTGAGTTTTTTGGTTATAGATCAAATATGGATAAGTAAATACATACTTCTTTTTTAAAACAGTGATTGCATTTGAAGGTTCGGTAACTGTGACTCTAGGGCCTGCAGTGAGAGTCTATGGCATAAATATATACAGTAATGTGACAGGCATTCCTATGGATGACCTGAGGTGGAATCTTAAATTCATCCCCTTGCTTTTGTCCCGAGGAGCCGGAAGGATTACCTGTACAGCCTAAGAGCTCCTAGAAAGAAAGTTCTTATGTTCCTGCTTTCCTTCCTGCCTTGACTTTAGGGCAATCTCTTTGTTATGTGATTAGCTTGAGAGGGGCTGTTTTCAGCTTGCCCCAAGGATTCCTTCCTACTAAATATGGTAAATAATATAGGAAAGCATAGGACTTTTATTCAGTTCCTGTTAGCTAGATAACTTCAAACTAGAATTTTAAATACATTTTTTTCTTTGAATGCAACAGTCATATGTGAAACACACAAATAATTGAATGGTTGGAGGAGAGAAACTAAGCAATTAATTGTTCCAGCTTCTATACTATACAAAGTATAGACTTGAATGAAACTTGGTCCTGCACAAGTCAGTGAGAATTGCCCTCTGATGGTATGTGCTTCAGTTTGCCAAACATGATCTCCCTTTTGTGTTTCATACTTCCTAGTTAACCAACTTTCCATTTGTTTCATTTCTGCATCTTACCTGTCCAGTATAGGGTACAGGGTGCTCAATTCTTAGTATGGTCCTCCCAGAATCTAGAAACTCAAGTGCTGAGGTTTGGGGAAATATCTTCTGCTTATTTTCCCACGGTCTTTCCCTGAGAAACATTATTGGTTTATAACATATGATGAGTATAGCAAGTTAGCTGGTTGGGCCTAGAATGTATGAGTTGTTAAATAGAAATGACAAAATTTACATATGAATAAACTAGGCAATCTTTCTTTTGGCCACATCACACTTTGTAGTGGCTTTAACCCTTGAATTGGAAAGTTGGAGAAGAGTGTGCATGTGGAGGGGATTGTTTTGTTTTTCAAAACTTCTAATAAATTGCTAAGTATTTGGTGTACTTTAGGACTTGTCACTGTAAGTGTGTTTCTCTCGTTCTCTCCATCCAGCATATTTTTTAAAGATTTAATTTGTAGGTTCCATGTGTTACCTTTTTTCTTTTTTTTTTTTTTTTTTTTTTAAACTTAGTTGTTCTATTTGTTTTAAAACTAGTTGGGGAATTGCTACACTTCCCTTTCTGAACTTCTTCCAGTAAATTATGCTCTCCCCCCTTTCTTAAAGGTTATTAAAAGGGAGGACCTGTTTGTAACATCAAAGCTCTGGAATACCAAGCACCACCCAGAAGATGTAGAGCCAGCACTAAGGAAAACACTTGGAGATTTGAAACTGGATTACCTGGACCTGTATCTCATGCACTGGCCTCATGCCTTTGAGTAAGTTCTACCTGAAAAGGGGACAGACAGCAGAAACCCCAGTTTTACATAAGTGGCTGGTGTTTTGTCCTGAGGAGCTTCTTTCTGGGCTGTGAATGTCTTCCTCTGTATACTGCCTCCAAGATGTTTTTCAGTGTGGCTAATAATGTAGTCCTATGGACTGTCATACAGACTTTCTTTTCTACCTGTAACCGGTACACTTACTCATAGTTGGTCCATTCATTCAGAGAAACAATTGTTCGAATTTCATTCTTCTTTGAATATCAGTTGGGTGAGAATTTGTTTACTGTTAGATTTGTAGCACGTCTGTAAACATTCAGTAGAGGAGACAAAATTTCTGGCTTAGTGTAGAAGTACTGTAAATAGAAAAGGAATAATTGTTCTCATTATTTAGCAGTGATGAGGCTGGAAAAATGGGTATTAAGTCTTCATTTAAAATCTTTAAGCAGTTACTCAATTTTTTAATAGTGAGAACAACTAGGTAACAAGATTAGGATCACTAAACTGACAGTTTGGCATGCGTGCCAAAGTCAGGTAACTGAAAGAAGCCTAACTGGGGAAAAAGCAGTAAAGCTTTATGGGACAGGTTTCTATACTGAAGCTTGCCATCTTACACTAGCTAAAAATTTGGCTTGCTGTGAGGTAAAATCTTTGAGTTTAAAATATATTAGAAGTTTAAAATAGTCTAGTGTCTTTGTCTAGGCACTGGAGAAGTCATAGAATCATAGAATCTTTGGGTTGGAAGGGACCTTTAAAGGTCATCTAGTCCAACCCCCTGCAGTGAGCAGGGACATCTTCAGCTAGATCAGGTTGCTCAGAGCCCCGTCCAGCCTGATCTTGAATGTTTCCAGGGATGGGGCATCTACCACCTCTCTGGGCAACCCGTGCCAGTGTTTCACCACCCTCACTGTGAAAAATTTCTTCCTTATATCTAGTCTAAATCTGCCCTCTTTTAGTTTAAAACCATCACCCCTTGTCCTTGTCCTATCACTGCAGGCCCTGCTAGAAAGTCTGTCCCCATCTTTCTTATAAGCCCCCTTGAAGTACTGGAAGGTGGCAATAAGGTCTCCCCGGAGCCTTCTCATCTCCAGGCTGAAAAACACCAATGCTCTCAGCCTGTCCTTATAGGCAGAAGTGTGGCAGCTATTCCTGGTTCTGCTATGGACCTAAATGATAACCTTGAGGAAATCCTGTCACTGCTTTGTGTCTTAGTTTTACTTATTTATAAATAAGAATTAAGTGCTTTGTAAAGATGACAGCACTTTTCACTAATAGTTATTAACTGTACTGGAGTGGCCAAGCACAGGCAGTGTCATGGTGGTATCTGTATGAAGAGGAAATGAAAATCACTTCTTGTGACATTTTAATTCTAGGATTTGAAGAAATATGAGATGAGGAGAGTTCTCCAGTGAAGTGCTAAATGCACTTATCGTACAACGCCATCAGAAGCAAAGTTCCTTGCTTTATTTTCTTGTAGATGTGGAAGGAGTTCTGGCCTGACCCCACCCCCTCGAATCAGTAAAAAGGCAGGGAGGGAATAAATCTCCTGACTGGCTGTTTGCATGGAGGCTTTGCTCAACAAGGGAAACCCTCTCAAGGGGTTTCTGTCTGTTCTGCAAATTTGAGAACGTTTTTTTTCCCCCCCTCTAGTCATATGAACAAAGCATACGACACTAACGCTAAGAGGAAAGACGCTCAAATATATTCCTCAGCATAACAGAATGAGGAAGTGTTTTCAACTAGAGCTGGTTTGGAGGAAGAACTGTTAAAAATTCCCCCTGTTGTGAAACAGGTTTGTTTTACTGTTGATTGGAAAAAAAAAATTAAACAATGCTTTGATAATAACACATAACACAAATAATGATGTATATTTAGATAGTACTAATATTTAAACATGCATAATGTCATGGAAACTGTTGACAAAACTGACATTCTAATAAAGCAGTATTTTTTTTACTCGTTGGAAACTGTTCGCTCTACAGTTTTCCATTAGCTCTACTTCAACTGTGTTTATGCATGGTTATCTATAACGTCTATTTTATTGGGAAGCTAAGCAAAAGGATGTTATTTACACAGAAATTAAAATAGCTTTCTGGATGAAAATCACAGTGCCTCTAGGTCTTGAAAATTAATCTCACTTACTATGCTCTCTTGACATATGAGGCTGCTTTTTTGAGTTGGGAGCTCATAAGGTTTTCAGAGTTATTTTTGGTTCCAGATCATTCAGTGACGTGAACAAGAACTATCTCCCTTTGTCCCCAGCTGCTGCCATTTCTTACACCATTCACTGCTTAGCTGGAGCGATGTAAGGCAGCCTTTGAGATCTGAGCTAGCAGAGTCCTGTAGTAGTTATGAAGCTATGCTCTTCCAGTGAAATTGCTAACATCCCTTCAAGCATGGACTGCTTGGAGACCAGTCATAGCCCTTTGGAAGTGGGGTGGTGTCACCTGGCATAACCAGGTTCTTTGTGTGTGTTTTGTTGGTTTGGTTTTTAATTTTATTTTATTTTTTAAATGTGTTGGTATGACTAACTGGAAACACACCCAAGCTATAATCAACATGTACACGTTAAGACCTCTGTGAGAATCTGCACTTGTATCGAGTGCTAACACTACTGCAGAATCCAGAGGGAGTGGGAAAGCCAGTGTACTTTGAATGCAGTCTCTCATAGATAGTTCTTAAACCAAGATCCCTTTGGTAGCAGTTCCAAATAGACTGTGAAGAATATTAGTCCTCCCTCAAAAACAAATTGAAAAACTAAAGCCGCCCGCTGAGTTGCTGCTCTCTAAATCTTCTGTTTTGCTAGGATCAAAGCACGCAAAGAGCTGCTGCTGTGTATACAGTGGCTTATCAGCTCTGTGTAGTCACTACCATATAGGTAAGTAGTTCAAAGTACTGTATAACAAGTTTACATAGGAAAGACTGTGTGTGAAATAATTGCTGATAGGTTAAGTCAGCATAATGGAATTCAACAGACAAATTCACTCAGTTTAGTATTCCACCCTCCAAACTGTGTATAAACTTTTGAGGATACTTTGAGGAAAGCTTATTTTAGTGAAAAACTAACAAAATATAAATAATGTGGTATATGTACTTACACTTTACCTTTGATGCTGTAGACGAGGGGACAATCTCTTCCCAAAGAATCCTGATAACACGATGCGTTATGATTACACTGATTACAAGGATACCTGGAAGGCTATGGAGAAGCTGGTAGAAAAAGGTCTTGTGAAAGCCATTGGGCTGTCAAACTTCAACAGTCGTCAGATCGATGATGTACTAAGTGTGGCCACTGTCAAGCCAGCTGTGCTCCAGGTAAGATCAATAAAGGAGGGGACGAATACCTTTCCTATTTGTCCATAAGAGTGAAGAATTTTCAAACCAATGCTATGTGCTTAGCACAAGGGCTGCAGCAGCTTTTTGTACAGGGAAGAATATAGCTGGCTCTGCAGGAGTAGGCACAGAGAGGTGGTCTTCCCAGGCAGATGAATTTGTTGGAGAGTAGGCCTGTATCCATGTTCTATGGCCATTTATGCCTGCTTAGTTGAACAGGTCTGTGGAAGAGTTCATCTTTCCTGTGAAGAATGATTTAGTCTATAAGAAAGAAAGATTGTGAGGGAGTAACTTGAATCTGTTCTAAAGGGTGCTTCCTTGCTCATTGGATGATCTGTTTGGTACATAGGGAAAACCCAGCACTCTAAACTTCGGTGATCTGTTCTGTCCCTGTGAAGGTTATCCTCGTAAGGATAACTTACTTAAACCTTATCCTCATAAGGCTTTCCAGAATCTGGAATGACCTGTGATGTGTTTGGTTCTGCTGTGCTTTTGACTTCTTGTTTGTGTAGAGTTTTGTGTTGATATCTGTTCTCTAGCCACTCATTGTGGGTCATTTTAATAGGTAGAATGCCATCCTTACCTAGCTCAGAACGAGCTGATAGCTCACTGCCAGAAACGAGGTCTGGTTGTCACTGCCTACAGTCCCCTTGGTTCTCCAGATCGCATGTGGAAACACCCAGATGAGCCTGTGCTTCTAGAAGAACCCGGGATCAAAAAACTGGCAGAAAAATATAGCAAGTCACCTGCACAGATCCTCCTCAGGTACAGAACAATTGTGAGAGAGGGTGGCATTTGGGACCTGGCCTTAAATAAAGCAAAACATGCAAGCTAGAAGGAATCTAATTAAAGTGCATGTTCTTCCCCATCGGTGGGGAGTTAAAATCAGAGTGCCAAAAGCAAAACCCCGTTTGGTGCATGATTTACAGAATTGGTAGAGTTGGTCCTGCCTTAGTGCATGGACTAGATCCGAGTGGTCCGTTCAGGGTCTGGATCCATGCCTGGGACAGCTCACTACCTTTTCTGCGGTGGAAATAGCAGTAGGACAATTAGGGCAGCAGTGTACCACATTTGAGTGCTACCTACTGAATTTGCACATGGTCAGTTGCTTGAACCTTTGAGCTCTTGCTACTGCGTTCCTGGGATCCCAGGAAGAGGAGCTGAGGAAGGGACCTTCCTTCTTTGCACTGAAGAACCGTTTGCCATTTTGTTTTTTTATATAGCAAAAGCCAGCTGCTGGATACTGAGAAACAAGATGATTGAGTGATATCCAGAGTATCATCAGCACCTTGTAAAGTAAAATTGGATTTCTGTGCTCATTTTTTTTGTCTGGCTCTGTATCGATCAATATTGCTAGTAAGTCTTGGGCAGCAGCAAGTTACCCTGCTAGCTGAACATGTTCAAGATTTTGCGCTCAAACCATTAGACAGGTACTTGAAGGATATGGGTTTTCTTCTAGTTTCTCAGTGGCTGTCATGTTAGAACTTGCGTAAAATGCTTAAGTACAGTTTTTTTTTTTCCTGACTGTTTCTTGGGTTTCTAGCTTAAAGCACCTGAAACTTGCTTGCTTGTTCAAAGGCGTGAACATCTTCCCCTGATTGATTAGTCCAGTGGATACTGTCTTGCTTTAGCTTGGACATAATAGATCCTAATACAGTACAGGGCTATGTCAGCCCTCTTCTGGGTATTTTTATTTCACATAGAAACATAAGTGGCATCTCTGCTGTCACAGATTATTCATCAACCAAAATAATTGTCATGGTTCTTGGGCTGCACACACAGGAAATCTTTCTCCTCCCCTTAACAGATGGCAAGTGCAGCGTAAAGTGGTTGTCATTCCCAAGAGTGTCACTCCCGCTCGCATTCAGCAGAATCTCCAGGTAAGTTTAAATGGAGGAAAGGAGTTTCAGCAATGCTTTTTCATGCGAGTAATATACTGTCCTACTACTTGCAGAGCAACAAGCTGAGGCACTTGGTTCATACTTGTTCATCAATGTATGCATGTGCTTAGAAGGGAGGGTAAAGATTTTTGGAAAACAAACTTGGTACATTTTAAGCAACTAAGTGTGTGAGTGTGCACATGTGTGCACATGCACAGTCTTGTTATCAAAGGGTAAAGAATGTACTTTGTAGAAGTCTAAATGAAAAATCTTCACTGAAATTTATCTGTGATACAAATTATTGAACAAAGGAATCTTCTAATTATGGTCAGTGGTTCTTATTTATGAAAAATAGTTGCTCTAGCCTGCCAGTGAGGGATGGGGACTAGTTCTGCAGCAAAATGCCATTCTAATGATGCTGAAGGAATAAGTGTGGTTCACTTATGCTCTGAAGTAGAGACAGTTCACTTCAGAAATTATTTGAAATCTCTGACTTCAAATAATCTTCAGGGAGGTCTCCAAATCACCCTGTGACCTCTTTTCAGCCCTTAATCATACAAGGTTGGCTGGTTGCATACTTGTTTTTAAGTTAGGACTTGTTTCTGTAACTGTTACTCCCATTAAACCAAATCCTGCCATGTAGTATGCTGCTAGAATTCTCAAGAAATTCCAGTGAACTCTACAGTTACTTGAGGTTTAGATCTATGTGGGAACAGAATATTGATTGAATAGGCAGCACTTGGAGGAATAATCCCACTGCTTTTATCTTTGTGGAAGAGTGGTATGCAGTATCAGTGTAGGCTTAGAGTTGGCAAGTATATGAACACCTCAGACTTCAAGCCTTTGTTTTGGTGTTCATTATAAAATTAGTTTAATTGCAACTTCATATTTATAAGCAGAAGACAAACTAATGGTAACCCATGGTTATTGAATAAAGCCTCTTGCTTTCGTTCTCAGGTGTTTGATTTCAGCCTCACAGAAGAGGAGATGAGCCATATTGGAAGCCTGAATAAGAATTGGCGTTACATTGTGCCAATGATTACGGTAAATTTCTCACATTTCTAATAGTTTTCATTATGTGCATGGGACTGCAACTTGGGGTTTTTGCAGTTTTCTTTCTTTTACTGTCTCCATCAGAACTACTTACTCATAAGAACACTACATCTTTTTAGGGTATCTAAGATGAAAGAATTTTTCAAAAGCTGGGTACAAAAAAGGTAACTTTTGGAAAACTTTTCTCTGTTTTGGCCACTCTCGAGTTCTCATTCCTGACCTGTCCATAGGCCTTTAACCACTTCAAATTTCACCAAACTCCTGCTTACTTGTTCTTCTCAAGTACAAGCAGACTAAGGTCCATGCCATTCCTCCAGAAGTCTTCCTTGTTCCAGCTGTCCCTGTCTACTTTATACCATAAACCTCTAAGATCAGCGAAGACTCATGGTGCTGTTAGTTCTCCACGTCCATCGTGGAAGTCACATGAGGGAATTTGCACACTCCCCTCCACTGGATGTCCTCTCTTTCAGAATCTATTGTAATGATATTCCTCCAATGTAAGGAAGGAGTATGGCTTAGACTGTTGTATTTTTCTGCCCAAATCTATTATCTGCAGCATCTTTTAGCATCAGTAGTTTACTCTGTTACATGAATCCTTACCTCGTGTGCTATCAGATGCCAGTCTGCTTTTAGAGAAACCAGTGCCTTGTAGGTGTCGAGGTCTTCTTGGACGTTCTTTTCTGATGTTAAAGGACCTAATCTTGTTCCTTTACCCTCACTGCAAAAAAAAAAAAAGTCAGTGTCTTGTCCCCTGTCTGTCTAGTATTCCTCATTTCTTCTTGTCCTGCTTCTGACTATACAGGATAGAGCTGTTGGCCATTCCCTGGTGTGTCACTGACCAACATATGGCAACTGTACTATAATGAGTCTGAAGTGATTTATCCCTTCTCTATCATGCATAGATACAGTAGGGGTCTCTGCAAACTTGGAAGCTGTCAAGCATACCCTTGCCTCTCCAGCACTTTGCCTGCCTGTAAATTATTCTCCAACAGTCAGTGGCTACTGGCTATAGGAATTCTCTGGGAAAAACTTTTCTCCAGGATTTATCATTGAGTTTTTTTGAGTACTTGAGAGCATATCAGCGACTCGTCTGAGTTAGAAAAGAGAAGTTGCAAATGTATGGTGAATTACTGTCTCATATCAAGGGTAAAGACTTGTTACAGCTTTCACTGTTTGTCATGCTGGGGCTTATAAGAGCTTCAAGGCCATGCTTTTAACTGTAGGATTGCTTCAGTATGTGTGCGTAAACAAACCCCCACATCCCTGCAACCAAAACTATCTTTGTGCTTGCGGATCAGCACTCCATACACCAAACTGCAAGCTTAGCTGCTGATCTGTGTGAATGTGGTAGTAACAAGCACACCTGCTGCTTACAGCATGATTCTTTCAAGTGTTTTGCTATTTGTGCTGCGAACAAAGTTGTTTTGTTAATGAAACTGCAAAATACAGTAGAACGTAGGCTGGCTTGGATGAGCTGGGGATAATTCATGTGCTTTTGTTACCTGGGAGACCTGATCAGATCAGTGATTCACAAAGGAGAGATGAAATACAGTTCAAAGTGCTAGCCCATCCAACTAGAAAAAGGGTGAATGTGATGCAGCTGGGCTTCAAAGATATTGCCATATTGTCAGATAACAAGACAGGAAGAAGCAAGATGAGGAGAATTAAAACGTGACTCTGCAGCTGTAAGATCTCTAGTGGAACCTTTTGTCTCCTGCCCATCCCTTCTGGGCTTATCGGAAAGAATTTTCATCAACTGTGAATTAAAATTCCTGTCTAACCTTTCATGCCTATCTCCTCTATGAATCTAACTTACAATGTCTGGATTTCAAAGTGTGATATGGCAGCGATATCAGAGCTCCTGTTATAACTGACAAGACAGTTTTTCTTTGCTTTACTTCATTGATATATAACCACAAGTTCCTGTAGTTGTGCCACTCTTCCCCACATCGTTTTGTTTAAAGCCTGAGGAGAGGCTATTACACTGCATGTAGACAATTTAAGTTGCTTTATACTTTAACAGTTCATTATCTGGATAGAAATTACCTTGCACAAGCTTGGAATCCAAACTTTTGGAAACATAGCTGGCTAAGGAATATACGTAAGCGAAACTTGAACTATTGGCAAGCCAGAAGAGGAGGAGTGATGGTGTTGTACACATGATGATCTGTCTAGTTTTGATAGTTAGCTACCGTTGACTCGCGGTGTGTTCACTGCTGATTTTACCCCCTCCTCCTTTTCTCAAGTTCCTGGGGTAGACTGGAATCAGCGATGTGAAACATTGCTTCTGGCAGCTGCTGTCTTGGCATGCTGTGAGCAAGAGTGCTTACCTGAAGAGCTGTTCTGTGTAGCAAAATATGCAGTGGGAAGAAAGGGGAGGGGGGAATGAGGAATATGAATTCTAGGAACATGAGGAAGTTGTTGGCTCTCAAGAGAATATGAAGAGACGTGAAGATACTGTGATACTTTTGTCCACAGCTTTAAGGATTGCCTTCAGTTGACAGCTTCATTTCAGCTTTATTTTATTTTAATCTGAGCATCAGTCAAATGTTAAGGTTTAACATCTTAGTTTTCTGCTCTGTAGTGCCCCCAAGTGACTAATTTCACACTTCAGCAGTCACTACACAATTCATTACTAGGGATTCCAGTAGTTGCTTTGAAATGCAGGTTTTATGCTGCAAGCTAACAGAGGGACTTGCTAGTGGATACTTGGTTTGAAAGTCCCAGTGATTCCCTCTGCCCCCGTAACATTGAGTGATCTCTAACATCACATATATATGTATAAAAATCACGTTTAGTTGTATAAAAATCAGTGATTTCTCTAACATAACTTTTATTCAGTCATTAGTCACTTAATATGTTTTAGCTGAATGATGCAGGTCTGTCACCCAGAGAGGTGTGTATCTCTTTGCCAATGCTGCCCCTGAATTTCCCCAAACGTTACAGATGAGGAGCAAGATTTTACTTCAGCTCCTCAGAAGTTGAGGTTGTTGTAAGGGACTTAGTGCAACTAGAAATGCAACTTACACATCGGAATCCTTAGCGGTGGGATGTAGGAATTGAGACTTCTGCATGGCCACGTCTGCTTTTGGGCCTCTGTTTCTTTATCTGTGAATATCGGTTTCAGTATTCCCATTTTACAGGTGGAGAAGCTGGTCTTCCATGGAAATGTTCTTAAAGAGTGCTGTGAAGGAGCTGGGTGACACTATTAATGCTTCAGTGTATGACCCTGAACAAGTTATTCTATGTATTTCATTTTGCCCATCTGTAAAATTGGCAGCCCAGCAACTCTCTATCATGGAAACATGGGCAAAAGCTCCAACTCCAGTAAAGTGTTTTGAAGTGTGCATGTTACAACACTTACTCAATAACAGCTACAAGGCAAAAGGCTTTTAACTATTCTTAATCTAATTCTTCAAGCCTCAGCAGCTTGAAAGACTCTTGCTCTAGGCTACAGAAATCTATCTTTTTTTTTTAATTGATGTTTTTGTTTTTCCTTCAAGAAGTGCTAAGAGGACTCAGGAGTAGAGGGAACAGCTCTTGTTTACGCTTAAAAAGATGCTGTCAAATATTTGGGATATGAAGATTTAGAAATCTAAACCATGCAGAATTTAAAACAGAGGGTAAGAATGGATTATCTTTCTGACTTGACTCTCTCTGTTTGCTTCACAGGTGAATGGAAAGCTAGTAGCAAGAGATGCTGGACACCCCTATTACCCCTTCAATGACCCCTATTAACTACTAGAAAATAAGGTGTTAGAGTAACATGTTCTGCTGTGTGCCCTTACACAAAATAATTGTTGCCACAACTTGTCAAAAAACCTGTCCAAATAAAACCTTCCTTCCTGAGCAGGTTTATTTACAATGTACTGCTTCTAATTGACCTCCTTTCTGGACATACTGTAGCTTCCATGTCAAAGTTTGTGGGTTTATAACAATGACTGCAAGCTTGCTCCTGGAAGCATCAAATATTTTGGGGATTAGATAAAGAGTGGGGAAGTCTAAATCAAGTTCCAAACGTGTCATTATCAGGCTAGGGCAATACTTTGGGTTTACTGCCTGTGAAACAGTTGTGAATGCTTTAGTTATTAACATGAGGGAAGAAAAAGGGTGAAGGCATGAAAGCATTTTAAGACTAAACAACTGCCTAGCCATCAGCTATGATATCTTTGTTAAAATTATTTATACAGGGAATAAAGTGAAATGTGCTACAGTTGCACTATGTCCGTAAACCAGTCATTAAAACCCAAGTGACCAGCCATGCCCAGTGCTGTTTATCAACTTTAGAGTACTTGTGGGATTTAGAATGCTCTGTTTTCTTCTTCTTTTAATTTGCTTGTAGATTTGAGGAGAATAAATGCATACCCTGGAGCAGGCCTTCAGGGCAATCCTCTCTGCTTGTCACATTAATAGGTTTCAGCTCTGACAATAGCTTTGGTTGTCCTATCACAAAAGCCTCAAGAAATTTCTAGCAAGTCTTGTAGAAAAATGTCCTGCTTTTCCCATATAGTTGCCCATTGTCTCTTTACCAAAGATGTCCAGTTTGAGTTCTGGAAGGTCACAAAACTAGTTCCTGACTATACAGTGAGAGCAAAGACCTGTTAGAGGGCCCTTTCCATTTTAATGTTGCATCTTTGACTGCTGCCTGGGCTGATGCTTGGGAGAGTTGGTGCTGTCTCCTGTTCTACGGCTGACCTGCTGGTAACAACACCAGGCAAGTAATTTGCCTTTCCTGTGCCTCTTCTACCACTTGCCATGTCTCTGTTACTCCCTGGCAGGGACTAATTTACCGAGTGCTGATACACTGTTGAGCAGGTCTGGAACTCTAGCTCTAATGTTTTTATTTTTTTCAGTCTCTTAGTGAATTGTCTAGCCATCTGAGTAGGAAGGGCATGAGGTGTTGGTACCTGCCAGTGCTCTGAGGGTGATACCTTCTGTGGCCTTAGCAAGTTTAACACTTTATTTTGGTTTTCTCTACCTGTAAAATAGGATTAATGCTCATTTGCCTTGGTGCAGACAGGGTAGCAAGGCAGAGTTTCTAAAGGCCTCCCAGATTTAAAACAGTGGAACTCTTTCAGATCTGTTGATAGTGTTCAGAGACAGTCATAGGCATGACTCCTCGTTTGCTGCTGGATAAAGCAAGTTTAACTGACTGTAAGTGAAATAAACCCCACTTTATTTTTCCCATAGCAATAGCAAACATAGAATTAGAAAAATAATATTCTGTATTCAAATATTTCAAAAATTAAAGAATTATTTTAGTTTTGATAACCAACCTCGTCTACAGTAGGCCTATAGTAAAACTAATATATAATCTCAAGCATAATGCCTCCGTAAGTATTTCCTGCCCTGGGCCTCACAGTGTGTAGCTGAACTGGAACAAACCTGTTCATGCCTTTTTGTAGTCCTTATGTAAAATTTAAAGAACTTCTGTTTCTCAGTAAAGTGTTTCCTAATTCCTACTGAATTTAGCTCAGTGGAGAAAGCCATTACAGCTCAGGTAGGATTCTTTCCTAGACTGGATGTTTTCTTCTAAGGGAAATGAAATCCCTGTTGGTTTTGTAATTATTCTAATCAAACATGGATGACTTTGAATATGGTTCTTAGTGCAAATTTTGCTTTGAAGGCGCTATGTAGAATGTTAACAGCAGTCATCCTGCTGAGAAAAGTGGCTTTTGTTGCATGTATTTCCACTTGTGTCTTTGCATGTCTTAAAATAAATACTGTCCTCAGCATATGACTTTGAGACTTTTTTTTTCCCACCCTCTGATGTCAGGGCCCCAATTAACATTTTCTACTTACTTCTCTAATCAAGAGTAAGTAAGTGGGCAGAGAGAATTCCCAAGAAAAGCAGCTTAATTCTTCATCTCTATTAAACGCACACTTCCCAGCTCTGTTACTGCATGGAGTCACAGCTTTTATCTTGAAATAGCACAGGGGGAAATGAGCCGCCAGGTCTCCACCAACGGCGCTGCTGCTGCTGCTGTGCACGTTTTCGGGAGGCCTGTGCTGTCACAGCTGCAGCGGCCATGTCTGGTAGGTTACATCTGCTGTGGGGAAGGCAGAGCAGCTGCATGAGCGGAGCCGGAGCCCACTGACTGCGCCGAGGTGCAAGCCCGCCCGCCCCCTCTTCTCCGCGGGCCTCCCCACCGCCTACAACAAGTCCACCTTCCCCCGGGGCGGGAGA